GCGTCGCGCCGAGGGCTGCGCACGGCTCCGCGGTCGCCCGGGGCCCTCGCACCGCGCCCCGCTTCGCTCCAAGTTACTTTGACGGCCGGTGGGAAACTGCAGGAGGACGGAGCCCTGCGGGCCAGGGGCTGCACGTCTGAGCCCCGCGAGTCTGAGCGCTCTCCTGGCCGCCGCGGCGCCTTCTCCGGGCAACCCCTGGCAATCTCGGAAGAGTCGTAGGTAGTGACTGCGGTGCCGGGCGCTGCGCCGAGAAGGGTGGGGATCCGGAGCCGCACGCCCAGCCCCGCCGGCGTCCTGGAACTGGGGGAGCGGCCGCTGCGCTGGCGAGCGGCGGTCTTGCCTCGGAAACCTCAAAGAAAAGTTTGGGTCCTCGCGTCTTCCAGCAGGTCCCCGGTGGAGTCCGGACGGCGGCGGCCGCGAAGCCGGCACCCGGGCGCGGGCAGAGCCTCGGGGATTTCTCTGGCGCGATTTCCCGGCCGGGCGTGTGTGCACGGAGCGAAGGAAGAGCAGAGGTTATGAACCAGCCAGCCAGGCGGAGCTGGGATGCCCAGACCTGCAGGACGACGCCAACCCAACTGTGCCGCTGCGAGCGGGAGGGGAAACGATCACTTTCGAACGGATCCCTTCAACTCCGGGATGGGCTGCTGTCAGCCTCCGGTCGCCTTCGGGGAGCGAGAACGAGCCCCGGTGAGCTCTCAGAAGTGTCCCTGTGACTCCGACGGGGCCGACCCCGAGCCCGGCAACTTGTAGAGATGCATCAATCAGTTTGCAAAGGGGGCAAAAAGGGGAGCGCGCGCACGAGCGAGTGGCACCTCCCGGATGACTACATCAGAAGACCTTCCCGGCCCTCCCGCAGCTGCTCCTCTCTCCTCCTCAGGCGACAGCAGCGACGAGAGGTGAAAACCACCCGCCGGACCCTAAAGCCCCTACCCAGGCGGGAAAATAAATAAACTTGAGTGCCAGCACGAGCTGCCCTGGAGAGACTGAAACGACAGGCGAGAAGTGGAACGGGGTAAAAGTCAGTTTTGCAAGAGAGAGAGGAGAGGAAAAAAGGGGGGGAGAAAAAATGCTTTATGGGAAAAATCTCCCGGGCACGCCCCCTCGTTAATGACCTGCGTGCAAAGCCGACAGCGGCGGCGGCCCGGCGGCGGCAGCCTCACCGCGGCTCGGGCCGAGGACGCGCGCGCGGACGTGGACGTGGGCGGGGGCCGCCGGGGCGTGTTGCGGGGCGCGGGGTTGCGGGCGGCGCGCGGGGGAGCGCTGCACCGAGCGGGGGGAGGCGCCGGCAGCCCGCGCCCAGCCCGCGCTGCAGCCGCCGCGGCCGGGTCATGTGGGCGCCTTTTTCCCCGGTCGCTCGCAGTTTACTTGGGAAGGTGGGGGCGGCTGGAGCAGCCAGTCAGGGGACGGCCTGCTGTTTGCTTACAGATCGGGGGTTTTTTCCTCTCTCTCCACTCCAACCGGATTGGTTTGCTCCACGAGAAAGAGGCGTTTTCCTAATCTCCTCCCTCCGCACGCCTCCCACCCCAGCGCCCCACCTTCCTGAAACCTGACTAATTGAATTACTGGGAGCGGCGCGGCGCGCTCCTCTCCGCCTGCGCTCGGCCGCCGGGTAACCCTTTGGGTGCTGAACTGCGTCTGGGCTCAGGCGTGAGTTGACATCTTTTTCCTGGAGAGCAGGGTCCTTGGACTCTACAGGACCCCTTCCCGCTGCGTAGACGGAGATCCGAGAGCCGTCTGGGGAGCCCCTAGGGGCGCGCTCTGCGCGCCCCGCCCTGTCCGCCCTGCGCCGGCCCGGCGGTCCCGAAAGCCGAGCACCCCTCCTGCGCCCCGCTCCGCCTCGCTTCCCGCCCGGGATGTAAGGAAGGGTTCCCGAGCAGGAAGCAAGACTTTGCTTTAAAGTGATGCCCTGAAGGCACGTTTAAAAAAAATACCTGGGAGAAATTCAGTTGGATGTGATTACAATCCCGGTGAACCTGCACCGGGGAGGGAGGACGCACACGCGGCCCCGGGCCGTGAGACTCGCCCTCGCCTCGGCCCCAGGCGCCGGCCCTTCCTCCCCGAGAAGCCGCCCGCCGACCGCTGCGGGGAGCCGGGGCCCGAGGCGGGAGGGAAAGGAGGTCCGTGCTGCAGGGGAAGCCTTGCGCTGCAGAACTTCGAGGGCGGGGCGCAGCGCGGCCCCCGCGCCGCCCAGCTCAGCGGCCCAGCAGCGAGCGCGCGGGAGCCCCGAGGCCGCGCTCCCCAGTCTCCGGCAGCGCCAGCGCCCGAGCGCGCGGGGCCGCAGGCCCGGGAGACCCGCCCTCGCCGGGCTTCACAGTCCCGGCAAGCGCAGTGTTTTTCCGTTTTGCTCTCTAGTGAGTGTGCCGCTTCGGTAGAAAGGGCAGATCGCAAGAAAGAAAGCAGTTTAGCTTTCCTCCCAGACTGATCAGTTCTCCCTTTTACTTATTAGCCCAATAAAATGAAATATCCCGGTCTCCTGCGCTTTCCAGTCCTCGGCTCGGGATTTCCAGCCGCGGAGCTGTTTGGAAGCGTCCAGACGCCCTCCAGTGGTGGGCCCGGGTTCCGCACCCAACGGGGGTATTGAAGTCTGATGGAAAATCTAGGGTCTCGATCAATAAAGACTTGAGGGGAAAGAAACAGACCTCAAGGCATGGAGTTAGCTGGATGTTATCGGCTCTTGCCTAAAAATTAAGTAGTTTCTCAATTACAGAGTTTTTTTTCCTATTCGAATATACTAAAACCATCCTTAGAAGGTAACTGTCTCGATAGAAATTACAATCCGTGCAGCTGTGACTCACAACAAACCACCCTGGGAAACCAGTCAGCTTTCTAAGTTAAGAATATTTGTTTCAGAATATTAACAAAAATTATTTGTATATTTCACATTATTTGTATATTTCACACAATATACAGCAGTGGGGAATTTTAAGGGAGATCACAAGATAGGCTTTTTTACAAAAAATCAAGTGTTCATTTAAAATGTTATCTGCGCTTATCCTTGGTCTGTAATCTCGCCGATGTTCAAGTTCTTGGCCTGTGTTAGGGTGTGTTCTTTCCGTCCTGGAAGGATGAATGGATCTCCTCCTTCGGCCTTCCTCCTAGTGAGAGGCTCTACTAGGTGTTCGTAAGAGAAGCAGCCTGGCAGGAAATACCCTGGACCCTTGTAAAAGATATCTGTCTCTTCGGAAGGAGAGAATTCACGACTCCTGTCTTGGAGAAAATGCTGATTCTCATCGCAGGGTCCTTTTAGTCAGACAACTATCAGATATCAGGAAGCTAGCAAAGCTGGCTGCCTTCTTGCGGCGTCAAAGCTGAAAGAATTGAAGAAATAAAGACATGATATCCATTATTTCCCATTGGAAACATACTGAAACCAAATGTGGAAAGTAACATATCAGAACACGGATGCCTTGATATTTTAAGTATCTCTACTTCTTTCAAAGTCTGAGTAGCCTCCTTTTAAACAGAAAAAAAAATTGTACATTGTGGTCATCTTCAAAATGATTTAAGAGGTTGTACTAAGGTATTGGAATTTGCAACTGTTCAGAACGTAACTGAAATTTCCGTATGAAATATTCATAAACCTAAATCAAATGGCTCCTTTTGGGATTCTACACCTAAGCAACTATTAATATTGGAGTTACTAAGCAGGGTAAGATATATGTACTTGAATAGCTATAATTTGAAAAGAGATATTAACTGTACGCTTATTGCTAGATAATATGGCTTTGTCTCTGCAGGAGAACACCCCCACGACTGAATCTATACAAATCAGCACTCGATAAAGTAATTCTGCATAGTCCAGTGTTACAGGCAAGACCTTTTAAACTGGCGCTTATAAAATAACCAAGTATAGCAGTGGGCTCATGTCTGACGGAAAGAAAACAAGCAAGAAACTACAAACGTGAAGAAATAAAAGTGCGGGGAATGTTCGGATGCTTTGGGTTCAACAAGGTTGAACAGGGCAGAGCTGAGGCCTGAAAACTAGGCTGGTGACAGACTGTGAAGGGGCTCACCGGCCGTTCTGAAAATGTTTATATTTCAAGTTGCAGGCAACCAAGTAAAACAAGTGGCAATGAAGCAACAATCTACATGCCTCAAATCACAACATGAACTGAGATTTATTTCATTAATTTTCTGGCCTTAAACTACCTAAATCCGTGTTCTAACCTTGCATACGAATTAGAATCACCTAAGGGAGCTTTTTGAAAAAGGCCAATGCCAGGGACCACTCCCTGCTCTAGTTGTTTAGGAGTGGGGACCTGGGTCTGTAATTTTTAACAGCTCCCTAGAGAATTCTAATGAGCGTTGAGAATTGAGAACCACTGATCCAGGTAATTTATTTTTACCTTAATTACTTCAATCTTTCAGGCAAAAGTAAGTTCTGTTCTTATTTATCTGCAGAAGTATCCCAGCTAACCAGGAAGGCAGAAATGTTAATACTTTAGAGAAATGCTTATCGTGAAGTGATGCTTTTAAATAATTTTCCACGGCACAATTGTTTTTGAATGTCATCTCTGGGATGTGGTCACAGGGGAAAAACATACTTCTAAATTGGGTTCATCTTTTTCTTTTTTTGACTAGTTTTTTTTTTTTTTAATTTGAATTAGCTGCCACTAGATAGAAGTAGAGTTCTGCTGGGTTAGGTGTCTAAACAAATAAATGAAATAAACTGGTGACTCAAACCTCACGGTCCACAGACTAAGCAACTCAGTATACCAAAATTAAATTAAACCATGGAATCAGAAGTTAAATTAAAATTTATATCCGAGATAATAATTGAAATAAACGATACCACAAAGATTAAATAATGATTATACACAAAATTTTCTAGCAGATGACTAACATGGTATTTTAGCCAAGTCTACTATTTTGTTGGAACATTTAGAATTCATTCTGAAGCCCCAGGAAGCCCAAGTCCCATCCCTGAGCTGTCGCCCGATTATCCTGTCCACAGACTGTTTGAAATTACAAGTGAAGCCCTCCCTGCTACCCACCCTCTTTGTGACAAGTTTCTTGCAATATATAGAAAAAGATGCTAGCTTTTCTCTCCTTGTAAGACTTTAAGAAACGCTCTTTTTCTGTTGCTGATCTGTCTCTTCTGTGTGTAACCTAAAAGAGAAAAAAATGTGCTAGGTAGAGTACTACATCACTGCCTTCCACCCTGTGATCTCCAGCCCCATCCTGAGTTTTCCACTTCTCCTCATCTTCCCCTTACTGTGCTGGGACTTGCTGGAGTTTATCTAAGTAGACTTCTCTTAAAGTCTGCAGGTAAAAAGAAGCAGTTTTGCAAGTTGCTGAAATATTCTGGAAGGCACATAAACTCTATGTGTCGTTATTTCGCCCATTTCAAAACATATTAAAATAAGACCAATATAGCAAGCTCTTTAGAGATACAGATGTTTTAGCAGTCACTTTGACAATCACCTAGATCATATAATCAGGCACATATGTAAATATGTGTATATCATAAGTGTGCACATGTTCATAAGCAGTTCTAAAAAAAAAAACCAAAGAACTGGTTACTTCATTACAAATAGTTCAGTATATGTACCTTTAAGCTATTTGACCAGTTTTCAACCATGAAGTCGAAATTGGCAGATAATTTTATTTCCATAGGCAATTTTCATGTTCTCTTTTACTATGTGAACAACCATATACTATTTACTTTGTATTTTCCTCATCAAATTTTTGAAGGAAATTCACTGAATAAAAATTATGTGCATTTCACACACCTAATCAGCCAATTAGCATAAGGTATACTGTCTTAAAATAGCTTGGCAAATTCTTAAATTACACATTATATCCTTTGCTTAAAAAAATATGTATTACTGTGAATTTATATTACCAAGAAAATAAAAATTTGTATTTATGTTTTATAACCACAAAGCCATCTACAGCTCTCCTTTTTTAAAATAAAATGTTTTAAGTAGCCATAAAGAAATAGTTAATTTATGCCTTATTTCCACATTCAAACTATTCTATTTCCCTGCTAGCTTTATCTGCCATCATCCAAAAAAATGCAAGTATGCATTTTTGTATTCTTTTACTAGCTTGAAGATCCCCCAAAAGGTGGTACATCATTTTTTAGAAATTCCACTGATACCATTACACACAC